TTTGTGATCAGTCCTTAATCATTAGTGCTGTGTGCAAAAATTTTCTCTTTGTTTTGGTTATTGTCTCTTTTGCTGTGCAGAAGCTCTTTAAGTTGATGTAGTCCCAGCTGTTTATCTTTGCCTTCACTATCACTGCTTTGGGTGATGTGTCTGTAAAGATGTCTTTGAGGTGTATGTCATGTAGTGTTTTGCCTAATTTCCTTCTATATATTTTATGGTTTCAGGTCTTATGTCTAGCTAAGCTATAGAAACAACCCAAATGCCCAAAAAGAGATGACTGGATCAAGAAGATGTGGTACATATATACAATGGAATATTACTCAGCAATTAAAAAAGATAAACACATACAGTTTGCAGCAACATGGATGGAGCTAGAAGGGATCATGTTCAGAGAAATAAGTCAGAAAGAAAAAGAAAAATACCAGATAGTCTCACTCATAGCAAGAATTTAGAAAACCTAAATAAGGGACCAGGAAAAAGACTAATTAATACAAAGTAAAAATCAAAATTAACAAGCAACTATAAACCAGAGACATACTACGGAGGAGGGGGGGATGGGGAGAGGAAGGATTAGGGTCAAAATAAGGGGGGGTGCAATTGTATGGGGAATATAACCAAAATGAAAATTCATACATTGTGCAAAAATGAAAAATGATGTAAGAATTATATAAAATAAAATATTTTAAAAATTTAAAAATTAAAAAAAATAAATCAGCCACCTCGGGGCCTCCCTGGTGGCGCACGGGGTTAAGATCCAACCTGTGAAGCTATCTGCAGCCACTGCAGTGCAAGTTTGAGCCCCGGCCAGGAAGATACCCACATGGCACAGCAGTCCTCTCCTGACTCACCCGCTGCTCCTCTCAGCAGTGTATTTCAGTCGATCTGCCTGTTCTGTTCCCCACGCTGTGTCTGGTGAATCCTGTCACCGACCCCGCCCCACACCTCTGGCCTGTACCCCAGTTCTTGCATGCATAAATAAATAAATCTTTAAAAAAATAATAAAGAAAGAAAAAATCATCCACCTCTCCCAGTATGTACAATGGTGGGTGGGACTTTCTCTAATTAGCAGGCAGCAGTCTGGCGATCAGCCTATTTGTCTCAGTTCTCTTCTGGGAATGCTTTCTAGCTGGACCTGTTTTACTTTCAGGTTGAAAAAATTTCCCCCCAGGTTGCTTTTAAATGTCTTAATTTCACAGTGTCCTTCCAGCTTCTTCCCGGGTCGTAAATGTCTCATGGTGTTCCTTCTGCTCATACTCTCTTGTTCTACATTTGTGGGTCTGCGGTCAGTGTGGATGTTCCTGTGTTTCATCGCTGCCTCTGCCTTCTGTGGTTTACAACCAGAGCCCAAATGATGCCAATGTTTCTCGTCTGGGCTTTGGCAGCAATCAGTCCTTCAGGGCAGAATGTTGCAAACAAGTTCAGCACTGTCTGACTTCTGTCCCAGTAAGGGAACTAGAACATAGGCCCATTGTTGTTCTAGCCTTGCAGAGGAGTGAGAGAGGGTAAAAATTCCAGGAACTTTCCTGGTTTGTTGGGGTTTTTTTGGCATAGAAGAACTGGGGTACAGGCCAAAGGTACGGGGGGTGATAGGATTCACCAGAGAAAGTGTGGGGAGCAGAATAGGTGGATTGACTGAAATACACTGCTGAGAGGAGCAGCAGGGAGACAGGAGAGGTCTGTTGCGCCATGTGAGTCAACTCCCTGGCTGGGGATCGAACTCAAGCCATTATCAGTGATAGCTCTGAGACTTAACCCCTAGGCCTCCAGGGAGGCCCTCCTATCATGTTTTATGTGATTTTTTTTTTTATTGGTCACTTGTTTGATGCAGATATTTGGTTTTGTTACAGAGGAGGGAGAGGGGCACCCCAGAACCCCGAAACCTGCCCATTCTAAATAAGTTCTGCCATCCACCACAACAAGACAAAACATACTCTAGTGTGTAAGACCCTTTAATGCAATGCATGTGCAATACAGAAAAGGGGAGGAATATAATTTCCAAATCAAGCACCAAAAGTTACCCATCCCTTTGTGGGTAAATGCTCAGCCAAACAGGGCTGGCCCAAAGCCAACCTCTGAGGCCTGAAAGCTGCCAGAAGTCTAAGGGAACTTAGAACTTCTGACCCATAGAAAAGGGTCAGAAACAGTCAGACAACTCTGGGAGGAAAAGAGAAATTCAAAATCAAGATAAACACTGCCATTGTTACCCTCCCCACGGGTCTCTCACCCATATCTATTTCAATCAGTCCAGGACCAAGAAGCAAGCGCCGCTTCTTCACATGTCTCTCTGCTCCACGTGCGTCCTCCAGGTCTCCTTCTGGCTCCATCCTGCTTCCTTCCTTCTCCAGCTTCCTCTCTTCCCTGCTCAGTTCTCCCTTACCTTGGGTGGGACAGGGGACCTGGAACCTCCCCCTCCCCTTTTCCTGGGGACCATCCTGTTAGCTTCCATAGTTTTTTATTGATGTTTCTGTAGAGGCATGAGTGCCTGAAACTTCCTACTTCACCATGTTGTTCACCTGTTTATTCAACTTTTCTCAATATTCGCTTCTGTTCCTCCTAGTGTTTAATTTCTTTTCTTTTCTTTTCTTTTTTTTTTAAGATTATATTTATTTATGTATACAAGAACTGGGGTACAGACCAGAGGTGCAGGGGGAGAGGTTAGAGGATTCACCAGAGACAGAGTGGGGAACAGAACAGGCAGACTGAGCAAAATACACTGCTGAGGGGAGCAGCAGGCGAGTCAGGGGAGGTCTGCTGCACCATGTGGGTAGTTCCCTGGCCGGGGATCAAACTCGTGCTCCAGTGGCTGCGGACAGCTTCATAGGTTGCATCTTAACCCCTTGCGCCACCAGGGAGGCCCCCGGTGTTTAATTTCTGTTGTTCAGCCTTCTCAATTCAGACTCCTCTTTTTTGGAAATCTGCTCAGGTCTGCTAGTGAATTTATTTATTTCTTGTTACAGATATTTATTTATTTATACAAGAACCGGGGTACAGGCCAGATGTGCGGGAGGGTGAGAGGATTCACCAGAGACAGAGTGGGGAATAGAACAGGCAGACTGATGAAATACACTGCTGAGGGGAGCAGCGGGAGAGACAGGAGAGGTCTGCTGCGCCATGTGGGTTTCTCCCTAGTCAGCGGGGATTGAACTCGTGCTGCAGAGGCTGCAGAGAGCTTCACGGTGCGGTGCTCAACCGGCTGCGCCACCAAGGAGGCCCTGTTAGTGAATTTAATTCCAGATTTTTAGTTTTAATATTTTTATTTGGTTCTTTTTGTAGTTTGTTTCTCTGCTGAGAATTTACATACTGAAGTGTTTACTCCACAAAGCAGTTTTTGTCACTGCAGTTACAAGAACTGCTTTGTGTGATGATTCCAACATTCTGGCCAGCTAAGGAGTGATATGTGTTGTCTTTCCTCACCTGAGTAAATACTATGTTGCATGGGTTCTGGTTTCTATTAAAATCATCAGGAGAATGCTGTTTTTGTTCTTAGCAAATAATCAACCAGGTTAGGTTCAGCCAGCAGCGCACTGGACCTGCCTCTGAGGAATAAGTCACATGCTCAGAACAGAGACCCCAGTGATTGTTACCTTATTTGCCACAATCTGAGAAACTCATTCCTGGGTAGTTACATCTCCCTATCTTGACACCCTCATGTAATCCTTCTGGTTTTAATATCAGCCAACTTAAGCAGTTGTTTTTCATATTTCGTCCAGTTTCGTTGTGATTAATGGGAGGGAAGGGGTCCCTGGTGACTTAGTGGAACCAGAACTGCACTGGTGCCCTGGACCCCTACTTGTAGCATGGTGGTAGCCACAGCGCTACCTTGTTTCTAAATACTGGTGGTGTGTTCTGAAGATAAAAATGTGATGAGCATTTGGCACTTGTAACACACAGTGGTGCTCAATGAATATTACCTACTCATGTATTTTCTATAAGATGAAAGATTTTGGATTAGCTTTTTTTTTAAGATTTATTTATATAGGCACACAAGAATTGAGGTATAGGTCAGAGGTGTGGGGAGTGAGAGGATTCACCAGAGACAGAGTGGGGAACAGAACAGGCAGACTGACTGAAATACACTGCTGAGGGGAGCAGTGGGCAAGACAGGAGCAGTCTGCTGCGCCATGTGGGTAGCTCCCTGGCTAGCCAGGGACTGAACTCATGCTACAGAGGCTGTAGATAGCTTCAAAGTGCTGTGCTTAACCCCTTGTGCCACCAGGGAAGCCCTGGAGTAGGATTCCTACAATAAAAGTATTAAGTATTAAGAAACTAAACAGAGGTTCATTGGGTTGGCTACATGGATGCTGATGCCTGAAAGGAAGGTTAAAAAGGGAGGAGGGTACTGAGCAGAGAACAGTATTCCATGCCAGTTCTGTGGCCACTGTAATTATACCCTTGTCCTCAGTGATTTGTGTATCTAGCAGTAATCAAAACTGAAAGTTACAAGATACTTAAGGTGGTTTATAGGTTGCACTTTCTTGAAATATCCCATTAAACAAGAATGAAGCCTATATAATTAAATAGGGATGTAATTACTGAGACTGAACCTTGCTTTCCAATGAAATAACCCAACTGTCCCCTCATGTCATCTTTTTAAATTACTGGGCCGGGGGGGGGGGTGGCGGAGATATGACACTAAAATTGTTATTTATTTTCTAGTAAGACTCTTCCTTCTCCTTGCTCCCTCACTAGATGGTTGAAAAAGAACATGCAACCTACTGAAGACATTGAGTCAGTGACCCAGAAGCTGTCGCAGTTCGGTCCCATTCAGTCAGTCACCCTCTGTGGACGGCAGAGTGCCATAGTGGTGTACAAGAACATAGTTTCAGCTTCTAATGCTGTGAACGCTTTCAAAAGCAGGGTTCCTGGCACAATGTTTCAGTGTTTCTGGAAACAGCCATTCATGTCAAGAGATGTAAGACTCCTATTATCAAAAACCTATGTGCCTTCTTAGGGCTTGTCCTATATCTGTCATCAGGGCTCATGTGAAAAATAATCACTGTACATGACACTTTAACACTGAAAAAAAGGCACAGTGAATTTATTTAATTCAAGTGTTGGAAATCCGAAATCATGGATGTATCACATCCCTCCCTCTGAAATGCTCGAATGCAGCAGGCTGTATCACAGCTTTGCTTTTTTAGATAAGAAGCCCATGACCGCGTTCATGCATTCATCTGATAACCATCTGTCCTGCAGGATGTTGCATTCATCAGCGTTAGTAGCATGTAGCTTTTCTTTCTCGTTCTTTCGAATGATCTCTTTTGAAATTCTCAGGGCCTGAAAGATCAAAACCACAAGTGAGGTTGAAAGTTCCTCTAAGAGGAGTGGGGTGATTCTCTCCTTCTGGTTCCTGGTTCCCTGTTGTTCTCTTAGGCTTTGGGAAACCTTAAGATACATGTGTAAGATGAGGCAGTGTGTCTCAAACATCAATCACTCAGCACGCAAATCACTCAGCAGATGTGGGGCAGGGCTTGGGATGACACATTTTCAAAAAGCCCCAGATGGGTGTTAAAGCTTCTGGGTCTAGGACCACAGGCTGAGCAGCAAGAATATAAGAGTATCAGTCCCTGGCTATCCCATATGAAAACCAAAGTGCTGGACGGCGAGAATCTGAATGGCAACCCATCTGGCTTCTCATCTGGATTCAGGAATAAAAGTGTTCGGCACATGCCACTTACCATCCTTCTCAAATTTACCCCCCAAGAAAATTATCAGAGACATGAAATACCCATTTGATATGTTTTTTAAAAATCAGAATTTCTAACATTATTATGGTTATTTTTAACCTCAAATTCAGATGTGCTTAAAGCCAACTAAGATATGCCATGACTTTTTTTTTTTTTTAATTATTTAGTGTCTTAAGGCAAATAAATTACTTCCACGGTTCCTACAAAGTAAAATGAAAATGTATACTAACGTTTGGGGGAAGCTTTGAAAAGGCCTTGAGCCTAGTCCAAACTTCTTTCTGGAAAGTGCTGTCAGGGAAAACCTGAGTCACTAGGCCCTGAGCACATGCTTCGCCTGCTGTGATCTTCTTCCCAAAAATAAGCATCTCTGCTGCCTGCAAGGAGAGGCAAGATGAATATATTAACTTCACTCAAGGTCCAGTTAACTTCTGAATCAACTTATTCCACCAGACAGAGGGCTGTTGACTTATGAGCTTGAGACCGCAGTTATTTCCCCCTAAGGAGAAACTAGTGACCTCAATATTAGCAAGGATTTGCAAACAATATGCTGAGGCCGTGCAATCAGGCTCCCCAAAAGGTTCTTCAGGGGCTGCTTCTCTGTGTGTCTGCGCTGGACAGGAAAGAACAAGGAGCCCAGGGCAGAAATGCTAAAGTGGATGCTGACTGGATGGGCCATGGTGGCTGTGGTTTCTGTGTTATATGCTATAGTACTTACAAAGGAAAAAGAACAAAAAGAAAAATCATGGCTTTGCAACCAACGCCAGGCAACCTTGACAAACCTTCTCTTCCCTGAGAATTCTAAAATCAGGGGTGTAGTTCTGACAGTTTTCTTTACCTACACAAGTAACTCATATTATTTCTACTGGACACAAGGAAAGAGCAGACTAATATTCAGCTTCTCACAAAACTGAGGCCACCAGGTAGACATCCTTCTCTATATCTGCAATTTTTCTTCCAGAAAAGCAGACGACTTCAGAGGTAAATGCCTTAGAGTTGGTTCTACCTTAACTTTCAGTTAAAATGTGGTCAGGGGCTGTGACAGAATAATGGGACTGAAAAATACATATATTTGCAACAAAAACCTTAGAGCAATGAAAATGGGCTCAGTACTCACCTCCCTCCCTTTGGGATGTGAGGCCCTAGGGGCCTCAAGCAGTGGATGCTACAGGATCATGTAAAGAACCCTGTGACTAGGGGTGCTGGTGGCAGTGACTTCCCCGGAGGACCCACATCGCTGGCACTTCCACGACTTGCACAGTAAGGCACTGTGATGTCACTTACATTGAAGGCTGCTCACCCATAATGCAATTAGCGTGGGGCTCTGAGCCCAGGGGACCAAGGGAGGCAGCCCCAATCCTTTGGCGGACGCCAGACAGCACAGGCCAAGGCTGTTTGCAAGGGGGTATGGAGAGGGCAGCCAGCCTGGAGGGCAGTTCCTCACCCCTCCTACCAGGCCCACAGCGTGCCTCCTAGAGCTGGGGACCAAAAAATTCATATCTCTCATCTGTTACGGGATTTACCTTTGGAATGGGACATGAATTGCTAACATTTTTAAGCTTCAAAAGTTACCTTGGCTGAGCCCATAATCTTGGGGAACGTGTAGGAGGAGCATCCTTCTGGAGTCTGGCCCAGGTGACTGAATGGAGTATGAAAGGTTGCCTGTTTGGAGAAAAAATAGAAAAGAAGATCATCTTTCTGTAGGTGATTTAAAAAGTCACTATCTGTCTATAGCCTCATTATACTGAATTGGAAAACTTATTTAAAAAAAGAGATCAGGATTACTTTGGTATTATACACACACAAAATGCACTCTTTTAACATGTGCATACAGTATATAGCCACCACCATAATTAGAGACTGTGCCCATCACCCCATAGAGTTTTCTTGAGCTCCTCTGCACACAGTCTATTCTTCTCAACCCCAAGCCACCACTGATCTGTTTCTAGCTCTAGAGATACCTTCCAGAACGTCCTATAAGTGGAATTGTACATCATTAGCATCAGTCCTTTGCACACAGTGTTTGAGGGTCCCCATGTCTTGGCACATAGTTGAAAATAGCCCTTATTTTTGGTTCAGATTCCATTGCATGGATATGTCATTATTTTTTAAAAATTTTTGCATAGAAAATCTGGGGTGCAGGCCAGAGGTGTGGAGGGTGAGAAGATTCACCTAAGACAGAGTGGGAGCAGAATAGGCACATCGACTAAAATACACTGCTAAGGGGAGCAGCTGGCGAGACAGGAGAGGTCTGCTGCACCATGTGCATAGCTCCCTGGCCGGGAATCAAACTCGTGCTGCAGTGGCTGCAGACTGCTTCATAATGCTGCGACTTAATCCCTTGTATCACCAGGGAGGCCCAATTTGTCTATTCATTGACCAGTTGAAGACATGGGTATTATTTCCAATATTCTGGTTACTATGAATAGGGTTGTTATGCTCATTAGTGCACAGGTCTCTGTGTTTCAATTCTCATGGGTAAATTTTTATCTAGGAGTGGAAATGCTGGGTTATATGGTAAATGTATGACTTAACTTTACAAGAAGCTGCCAAACTTTTCCAGAGTGGTGTGCCATTTAATGTTCCTACCATAGTGCATGAGTCCAGTGGTTGTTCATGCCCACTAAACCTTTCTTTTATCAGTCTTGTTAACCACATGAATCATTCTACTAGGTTTGTAGTGGTGTCTCACTGTGGTTTTAATTTGTATTTCCCTAGTGATTAATGATGATGAGCATCTTTTCATATATACTTATTAGCTATCTGCTTATTGGTGAAGTAACTGTCAGAATACTTTTTTTTAAATTTTTTTTTATTTATACAAGAACCGGGGTACAGGCCAGATGCACGGGAGGGTGAGAGGATTCACCAGAGACAGTGCAGGGAACAGAACAGGCAGACTGATGAAATACACTGCTGAGGAGAGCAGCAGGAGAGACAGGAGAGGCCTGCCGTGCCATGTGGGATTCTCGCTGGCTGGTGGGATTGAACCCGTGCTGCAGAGGCTGCAGGCTTCACTGTGCTGGGCTCAATTGCCTGCACGACCAGGGAGGCCCAACTGTCAGAATACTTTACCCACTATCTCTAAGTTAGATTAGTTGTCTTTTTATTATTGAGTTGTAGGTATTCTTTATATATTCTGGTTACAAATCATTTTCTTAATTGTGTTTTTAAGAGTTATTTGTGCTTTATTTTCTGTGGGCTACTTATTCCTCAGCATTTCCAATTTTTATATTAAGTTGCCAATCTACTGCTGTTTAGTGAAACATTAAAGAACACATCAGAGAGATAAGCTGTTATTGCATGAGTTAAAAAATGGTTTCTACAATCTGTCATTAGTCCAGGGATTTCGGTCCAGGGATTTTTTTGGGTTAACTTTACTAGAATCTAATTCCATATTGTTTATTTAGAATTAATTTTGGTGTGTGGTGCAAGGGGTTAAGTCTCAGCACTATGAAGCTATCGGCAGCCACTATACCACGAGTTTGATCCCACATGGTACAGCAGACCTCTCCTGTCTTGCCCGCTGCTCCCTACTGTTGGCAGCCCGTCACCCTAAAGAGAGCCGGAGTCTTCTGAGAATACCTGTTTACTCTGCACATGGAGTTCTAGGATGTTAGAAGTTCTGCAAACCGAAGTGACTCCTGTTTTCTGAGGACATAGTGGCTTGTGCACATGTTCCCTACTAACTAAAAAAACTTGTTTTCAGCAGTAACTTATTCATCTGTATAAGCAAAAACACAATTGTGTGTTATTTTCTTGTTCCTTTGTTCCTATCTTGAATAAAAGCTTGGGCTGGGAGAGTGAAAGGCAGAGCTGCTCTTGATGGCTCTCCCAAGCCTCCCCCCACTGCAAATTCATTTAGACTCCTAGTCTTCATTAATGGCAAAGAACTTCATCGGCTGTCCTGTCTGCAGCACCCTTCAGCAGTGTATTTCAGTAGATCCGCCTGTTCTGCTCCCCATTCTGTCTCTGGTGAATCCTTTCACCCCCCCTTCACTCTCCACACCTCTGGCCTGCACCCCATCTCTTATATGCATAAATAATCTTTTTTAAAAAGAATTAATTTTGGTGTTTTTCTAGATTTAAGAAATATTTCTGAATTCCTTGAAAAATGAAAAGTTCTTATGAAAGGGAATTAATTTATAATCACCAATATGTAAACACCTTGGCTTCATTTTCTATAATCACACAGGATGTTCTTTTAAAATGAATTACTTGCTAGAAAATATAAATAGGCAATGTATGCGCCATATAAATCAAAAGAATAAAAATGTAAAAAGTTATAATGTCACGTCTCTTCTTTTCTTCCCAAGATAAAATGCTGAGAAGTCATGGCCTAAAGACTGAAAGCAAGAAACTAAAAAAGAAAAACTAATGACAAAAAACACCAACCAAGGCCAAGGGGCCACAAACAGGTACAGACCAAACTGACAAGGGCAGCATCTAACTTCCTTATAAATGTTACTGTGAACGGGCATCCAGCTGGTGGTCAGGCCCAGGGCAGAGGGTCAGACTCTGGCATCAGACCACAGTGACTCTGGGAGGGCCTTAAATCTGTGCCAGTGTCCTCATCTGTAGTGTCGGGGTGAGAACCGGCTACTCCTGGGTACAGGAAGTCTCTACATAGTGTGCATCAACAGAGCACTTAGTGTATCGTGAGCACTCAAATAGACATATTTGATTTCCATGTTTTCCTTAACTGATAGAAGAAATGTACCATATGCTGACAGAGAAGCTAATAGGCACCATTTACCATTGCTAATTGCAAAGAATACCATGGTTATATGGACTCGATGTTAACCCACATATAATATGGTATTTATTCATGGAGTCAGATAAATCCTTTAGGGTTTAATTGAGCCTATGAAATAAATGCCCCCTCAGAGGTTCTCCTATCTTTATCTTTGCCTGATTTTATACTGAAACTTGGTTTAAGTCTCTTGGGTGAGTTGTTAGCAGTGGTTGCTGTGTGTCAAACATTTTTACTTTGGGCTAAATCTCCTAGCATTGGGCCTCTCTGGTGGCACAGGCGGTTGAGCACAGCACTGTGTTCACCCTACCACACATCTGGCCTGTACCCCGGTTCTTGTATGCATGAATAAATAAATCTTTAAAAAATAAATCTCCTAGCATTTAAATTACACACACACACACGAAGTATTTATATATACTAATTTCAATTTCAGTTCCAGTTTGTATCCTAAGATGGAAGTCCTAGAAATCTTACAGAGGATATATATGATAGTCATTTTGAAATCAGTGGGAGAATCAGGGCAAAATTCAAGTATATTTGCCCTCCAGGTACTAAAGAACAGGACTGACCCCTGCCCCAACCCTATCAAAACAGGTGAATTAAATGGTCATTTTACTAACAGAAAGTGACCAAGGACGAATGAATTCTGCTTTTCTGTTGACACATCCACCTATGACGACTAGCCCCTAGGATCTCTTTTTTTCCTTTAGGGGGACATTTTTTTTTTTTAGGGGGAAATTATTAATAAGAATTAGATCTGCAACATGGCGGCGAGGAGACGCTGCGAGTAAGATCTCCCATTAAAAAAAGTTAATAGGGAGGAAAAGCGGCAGGTCCCAGTGAGAACTGGGACACGGAAGATAAACGGGTGACGCCAGCAAACTACCCAAAGAAGAAAGTGGCCATAAAAGAGGACTAGAAGGGAGGGAAGCGCAGAACCCTGCTCCCCTCCCCCGCCCACAGAGGCGGCACTCTCCGCCCAGCAGAGAGGAGGAAACAACAAACCAAAACGGCCCACAAGAACAAAGGACGCAGCAAGCGGGACTGGGAGTGGAAAGGAACTATTGCAGCCACCACACCCCGTGAACGGGAGCTGAGGCGAACCCTGCAGGATTCGCCGCGGCGGTGAGCGAACGGCTCCGGGCGCCATTAGAGAAGAACAAAGACCCCGGGAGACGCGCACACAGCCCGGGCTGCCGGTAAGCCTGCGCGGGAAAGCGGCGCGCTCAGCGCGCTTGAAAAGCAAGTGCAGACCTGGATCGCGGCTGCCCAGGTCCCCGCGCCTGCGACCTAGGCTTGCGGGGAGACGACCTAGGCTTGCGGGGAGACGCGCGGAGGTCCTCACTGAGGTGAAGGTCCCTCCCTGAGTGAGCAGGAACCAGGCGCCCAGGCACGGGAGCGGGGTGCAAAAGGCGCCATTCCCGCGCCACTGAACTGGGCTACAGCCCGCGTCCTGGAACTGAGGGCTTTGAACTGAGACCAGGGGCACGAAAATTCGGGGCGTGGTTTCTCCACGACGGTGGGGCACAAGGCAGACACAGCACCCCAAAGCTGTTGAGGTGTACCCTACCATTCCCGCTCTGTTCTCTGTCCCACGGGGTGGGGGGAGGCGAAAAACAGCCCCCCAAGGACAATAGGAGAGATCTCTGGCGCCACCTAGCGACCAGGAAAAAAAAAGTCACTAACACCCTATAAAACAGGACATTTCTTAAGTCTGCTTGAAAAGGGCAGAAGGTTTCTGGAGGACCCAGTGGCCAGCCGGGAAGTTATTCCACGCCAGGCCCCTTCCGACCAGCAGTCTGAGCCCACAGAGGGAGCAGGCACCCACGTCCGGGGCAGACCAGGTGCGCAGAAGAGTGTGCCTGAAACCGGAGGCGCAGGGACTGCATCCCTCTTCGCCATTTGA